TATGTTAAGAAAAATTTCGGGATAAAAAAACGTAAAATTAAAAAAGTTGGTATTTAAATCGCTTGGTTGCCTCGACTCACGTTTCATCCTTATCTTTTATTCGCTGTCCTTGTCTATGTTCGGCAAACTACAAAGGCGAGCGCGAGGCTCGAGAACCTAGTCCCTGACTCTACAAGTGTCCGGTTTAGATTCCTTGCGGACTGACACTTGTGGAGAATTTACTGTACCACGAAACATAGTCCACAGACAGTAGCATAAAACATAAACATTGTGAGATTGCTATAGTATTCATCACTCTCTATACAAAACCTCAATATCAATTATACATCAGTCATTATAGTAGCTTAGCATCCAGTGTTTTCTTCATTATCTCACATCAACTATCAGAACATCGCCCTTACAATATTAATTTGTTGTGAGCGCACCGACACTCAGCTTTCATTCGGCAAATAGTCGAAACGCGAGTTCGAGTATCGTGCAGTCACCTTGATAGACAACTGAGAACGTAAACAAATCAGTATGCACCCATTCGACGAGCCCCATCGAATACAAGGTATTTTGTATAAAGCATTTTTTGATAAAATCAATAAATAAAATCTAAAATAAAATTTTAGATGGCAGTTTTTATTGACTTACTCGGTACATATGTAAGTACTTATGTATGTATGTATGTATGTATATCTTCCCAATGCGCAACTCATGCTAGGATTCATGTTGTCGTGAGTCGCGCCTCCCAGACGCACTAAACTGTTAAGGGGTTAAACTTTCAAGTGGGACAAAATACTTTCGCCAAGCTTAGTAGTTCAAGGCTGAAACTAGGGCAAACTTTCGCCGTAGATCTCCGAGTTATTACGATTGTAAAACCAGAACTCGATTGAATCGTGTCAACGCTTTGGCTACGGTTGCATCTGACGATACAAAGTATCCCAAGGTCCGAACAGTAAACATAATTGTAAATTCGAGCGAAAGGATTAACGATCTGCCCCTTCTTTATTTTACGAATGAAGCTTATTTTACGGTCAGCTTATTAAAAAAGAAATATTTTCTAATGAAAATGAAAAGACTCACCGAAGCATCCTTTCCCTCTCTACGATCTCCTCAGTGGTAGGTTGCGCAGGTACCAGCAAAGAATGCGGCAAGGGTGGGTACCTCTGCGACCTCCAGTGCATTTCGGACGCGACGGCGGCATGATGATGGCCTGGCGGCGGTGCAGGATTCTGGTATCCAACCGGTGGGGCCGTGGCAGCGGCCACAGCCGCGGAACTAGGCCCGGCACTAGGCGGTGGCTGAGGATGCGCCATCAATAGGGATGTGTGCTGCACACTCTGCACGTGCCAAACCCTGGCCGGCGTCGCGGCGGCAGCGGCTGG